TATCACGGTTGGGTAACTTAGCACATAAAAAGTGATTTCAAAAGAGTTTTCATTCTAAATGAAACTAAGACAAAACTGGACTGAAAGTCTCAACTTTATTTCTGGACATTTATGGTTTGATTTCTTTGTATGTATGGATCACTTGGGTTGTTACCAACATCTGGTGAAAATTTCATGTCATTAGCACCTCTAGTAATATATTTACTGAGAAAAATGTTGACGTGTTCAATACTTATTTTACCCGCTGTGTTTATTTATATCTTCCAAGTCCTAAGTGGTGAAAACAAATTGTCTTTATATATTGTTAAAGGGTTAATTATACTGTAACTGGAATGAATTCATCATTTTACTGTATTTTTTTTTTGAGAAACACCAATTTAATGTACCTATTATAGCCTGTCCACTAAATGTTTTTGTCATTTTTAGAATTTTATTTTATGGTGAGAGGAGACTTAWAATGATTCTGTCATTTAGTTTAGTTTATACCTCTTTCTCTAGTTTCTAACTTTCTCATGCTCTTACCCTCTCACCATCACCACTGAACTTCATTCAGTTTTTGAGTTTTACTTGGTGTATCAGCACAATTTAAAAACTGGGGTAAAGTTTTTAGTTTCTACTTTTGACTAAAATTGAAACGGTCAGATATGATATAGTTTTCTGACGGGTCATGTAACCAGGTGGTGTCTGCAGGGACTCCAGAAGTGTTAAAGAAGAATGAAATTCAGCTGCTGTAAGACAGAGAACATGTTGAATGGGAGGGAGCAGGTGAAACAGAGAGATTACAAGAAGCACAGGGCACAGTTATAAGACCTCCAGTACTTAGAGTCAAATATTAATGAAAATGTAGGGTTAATAAAAGCGAGRCACCTGGAAGAGTTAGGTTACAAGTGGTTTATCCAGGAAAATTGGTAGTGTGGTAAAAAGCTAAATAAAAAAAAAGTCCCAACCAAGATGGAGAGGAGAAAGAAAAGTCTCAGGAGTTTTAATAAAAACTTTGCAGTAAACATCAAAGGTAAAAACAGTCACATGTACAGTACAGTAAAGTGGCTTTGACAGAAAAAAAGAGAAACAGAAATGGCAAAGATGAAAATGTTAAGAAAATGTTGAGTTTCTGTTTGTGAGAAATAAAGCTGGATAGATTAGGAATGAGATCATCAGAAGTCTGTTACAGATGAAAAGATGGAAGAAAAGGTTAGAACTGTCAAACTGACATGGTTTGAGTCCAGAGGAGCCACAGCTGGTATATTTAGATTTTACAATGTTAATAATGCAGCTGGTAGTAAAATGACCAAAAGAAGGCAACAGAGGACAAATGAAGGAACCTGTTTTTTAAAGGGATCCCCGATWAGTTGTAACATTAGACTTTATTTGGTAAACATATATTTTAGCTGTAAAATAAAGACTGTAAA